AAATGCGGAGAGGAAGGCCACTGGGCCAAACACTGCCCACACCCACGACAACCTTCCAGACCTTGTCCGGCGTGCCGTCAAATGGGACACTGGAAGAGTGACTGTCCCTCGGTGCCAAGACACGGAAGGCCAGTCCCTCCAACCCCTGACCCGCCGTTGACTGTCCTGGGTCTGGCAGCTGAAGACTGAAGGAGCCCCGACTCGTCGACCCCAGTCACTCTCGCCGAGCCCAGGGTAACACTCAAGGTGGCGGGTAAGTTGACATTCTTCTTGGTCAATACGAGGGCTACCTATTCTGTCTTACCTTCCTTCCTGGGACAATTATACCCCTCCCTGATCTCAGTGATGGGAATTGATGGGTACCCCTCCAGACCCCAGGTAACAGGCCCTGTTACATGCCTCATAAACAACAGAATTATTACACACTCATTTCTAGTGTTTCTTTGCTATTCATAAGGTTTTCCAATCACCTCGTATGCATGTGAGAGCTGGACAATGAATAAGGAAGACCAAAGAAGAGTTGATGCTATTGAGTTGTGGTGCTGGCAAAGAATGCTGAAAGTACCATGGACTGCTAAAAGAACTAACAGATCTGTCCTGGAGGAAGTGCAGCCAGAATGCTCCTTGGAAGCGAGAATGGCCAGACTTCGTCTCACCTATTTTGTCATGTTGTCAGAAGGGACCATTCCCTGGAGAAGGATGTCATGCTTGGTAGGGTGGAGGGTCGACGAAAGAGGGGGAGGCCTTCAGCGAGATGGATTGACACGGTGGCTGCGATGATGGGCTCAAGTATAGCAGGGATTATGGGGCTGGCGCGGGATCGGGCAGTGTTTCGTTCTGCTGTGCATGGGGTCGCTATGAGTCGGAAACGACTCGACGGCACTTAACAACAACAACATTTCTAGTGATGCCTACCTGCCCCACCCCTTTTAGGAAGAGACCTTCTTTTTAAGCTAGGGGTCACCCTACACTGGACACAGGACCCCTCAGCAAAACTTTGACTATCACTAATCTCCACTCCAGCATCCACACTAAACCCTCCCTTTATCTCCTAATTCAGTAAATCCCATTGTGGGACATTTTCACTTCTACCATTGCTACCCACCATTCACCTGTTCTTATTTGCTTAAAGAACCCTTCTCATTTTCCCTCAAGACCCCGTTTCCAATTTCTTCAATGCACCGACAGGGACTGAAACCTCTTATCCAACGTCTTTTGTCTAAGGGCCTTTTAACTCCCACACATTCACCTTATCATACCCCCATCCTACCGGAAAGGAAACCTGACGGCTCCTATCGCCCAGTACAAGACTTACGCCTCATTAATGAAGCTGTAATCCCTATTCACCCTGTTGTCCCCAATTTTTACACACCTGTCTCATATTCCACCATCTACCACTCATTTTTCCATATTAGACCTCAGAAGATCCCGGTGTCTTCATGGGTATAAATTATTCAACATACTTTATTCTTTCTTAACCATTCTCACACTTGACCCAATATTTCCCACTGTCTCCTTTGTGCCTCTCT